ACTTCTCCATTTTTTTTTTTCATTTGTGGCCCTGACATTTCATAAGCAGGGGCCATTTTGCCTTCTTGTCCTGAGGTCTATTGTAACTGTATCTTCTCCCTTTAGTTTGTAAAGAACTGTGCAAGTCTCAGGCCTTGCACCTGTGGATTGATGCAGGTCATAGGACGAAAAACGGCCGTTTTTAAAAAAAAAAAAAAAACGAAAAATCGGTCGTTCAATCGGCCGACGTTACCACCAACGGTAAAAAAGATCAGCCGATTTTCGTCCCGTCTACAGCCGGCAAATATAATAGCAGAGTATTACTTCTGTCCCTGCAGAGAGCTCCGCTATTATATTTGACATTACAAAGTATAGCGGTTGCAACATTGTATCTACTTCTATCCATTTCAGATACAGATGTTTTTATTCGGATACAAATAGATACAATGTTGCAACTGCAATACTTTTTAATGTCAAATATAATAGCGGACTGGAATTCTTTTTCTTTCTTCTTATTTTTCTTCTTTTTTTCTTCTTCTTTTTCTTTTTTCTTGCAGGTCACGGCTCATGCGCAGATTTTTTATCGGTAAAAAGATCGGCCGATTTGCCAATCATTGCCGCGAATATCGGCCGATCGGCAAAATCGGCTGATTTTTTCCCCCAACTTTACCGATAAAAAAATGTGCCAAAATCCCGAAAAAACGGTCGACCTATTAACCCACTAATGATCCGAAAATCAGCCGATTTTTTTTTGGACAAAAAATCGGCCGGTTTTCAACCCATCTATGGCCTGCATTAGTGCTAGATAGACTTTTGGGCTGATACTAGTGTCTACCTAATGAGGGAAATGATGGGAGTTTACTTTAACCTCCCTAGTGGTCTGATTATGTCAATATTTCTGTGCTCAAAACGGTACATTTTTTTGCATTAAAATATGTTGTTTTTTTTATTGTAGGCCTGTAATTCTTAGGAATAACTCACTGAAATCTGTCCGAACAAGAGTCTAGTAAACATCCTGGGTATGATAAAATTTGAAACATGAAATCATAAATTAGAATATAATAAATAATCATAATAAATAATAATATAATAATAACTAGAAAAGCTACAATTTCTGGGGAAATTGTGTGAAGTGTTCTTCCCTCCACCAGTAGTCTACAACTGGAGTGGGCGGAGTAACTGGGTGGAGTGGCTTGTCACTCTGCTACCTGCTCACACACCTGGGTTTCTATGGCAACTCACTCTACAGCAAGGGCAGAGAGAAGAGCGGTTACAAACAAACTGCTCCAACTTGCTCACTTCACTGGTGGTTGCCATCTTCAAACGGTTGGAGTTTAAAAATTGTAAATCCTACACCGAAGAGCTTTATATTGTGAGAATCACAAGACCCAGACCTACATTTTGATGCATAGAATGTCTCTGAAATATTAAAAATGAAGGCACAGTCGCAGTTTAGAAATTGCCCTTCAAATTTGAGGTGGCTATAGTGGAGTTTCAATGAATGTCAATGGGCGGTGTGAGTTGCAAACAAATGGTCATATTATGAAAACTATTAGGACTATGGCTTAGCCGTGGCAGCAGTGATAGCTGAACGTTTTGATATAAGATTTGTGTAGGTGGGCTTGAAAATGAGGGAGTGATGGCAGTTTAGAAATCATGTCCTGATTTTTCAGCTCACACTCTAGCTTTTGTCAGCTCACACTCTAGTTTTGAACATTCTGCCATTCATTCCTATGGGACCAATTTCACCACAAAAATGCCAATATTTCGTGAACCATTTGGCGAAACGTTCCACAAAGTAATAGCACACCAACCGGGAACAATCCATGCGTTTCGGTATATTACTGTCTATGTAGTGTAAAAACTGTGGTTAGAGTGGTAAATTTAGCTATAATAAGAATATATATGTGAGATAACAGTAAGTGGTCTTGCCATGCAAGAGCACGTAATAAATTTAATTCAATATATTCAATAATATAATCAAACTAAAAACACTGAAATTTGAAATATAGCGCCAAGTTTGCACATCACTGAGCTTAGTCGCAAAATCGTTTTCAGTGTCTGATGACAAATTTCCCCACAAATCATTATCACTCAATTCTGCAAGTGGTTCTGATTTACTATCACTGTTCTCTAGCTGGTCTAAAACCACTTTTGATAAAAGGGACGCTTTTTGGAACGCCATGGACGTTTCTCAGTATCCAGGCAGAAAGAACACTAAAAATGCAGGCAGGGCACAGGGCAAAGCAATAGGGACAAAATGTATGTGAAATGGTTTGATACAGTAATGTAATACTATCAGATTTTAGTGAGTGAATGTCACTTTTAAAATTTTTGAAATTCCCGCTGGTTCCGTCTCCCGAACGTCCCGTACTTCCCAACGCTCGCAGGGAACGGAACCCGGAAGATGGATGCCGGCATCGGCCAGAGGAGATGGCCGGGGATGCTGCAGGGGGGGACATCGCAGGAGCGCAGGACAAGGTAAGTGCTCGAAGGAATCCCTGAGCAATGCTCCAGGGTAATCCCGAGTGTAGCTCGGGGTTACTGCTTCTGGTACTGAAAGTTAACCCCGAGCTAAACTCGGGAATACCGCCAGGGGGGTTAAGGCTCCATTCACACTGAGTTGAGCATTTTTCAGGTGTTTTTTTCCAGCTTTTTATTCAGGCGTCTTTGAGCATTTTTTTGTTATAGCAGATTTTAAATATTATAGGCATTTTTTCGGGGGCGTTTTACATTTAGGCGTTTTTGCTGTGGCCAATAGAAATAGCTGCTGTTTGAGCTGAAAACGCCTGAAAAAACATTTGAAAAAATGCTCTTTCCCACTGTTCAGGAGTTTTCCATTTAAGTCTAGGGGGGCAAACAGCTCAGAAATGCCTGAACAGTAGCGCAATTACTTTTTTGAGCGACAGATGTTTTGCTACAGGCAACAGAATGCTCAAGTGTGAAAAGGGGCCATTGAAAATAAAGGCATTTTACTTGTTGATCATTTTTGAGCGTCAAGCTGAAAAATGCTCAAGTGTGAATGGGCCCTAAGATTGAATATATCTTTGCTATTAATGTATTCTCCCTCTGCTCTTGACACTCCTTAGGGGTGTCAAACTGGTGGCCCTCCAGCTGTTGAGAAATTAAAAGTCCCATCATGCCTCTGCCTTTGGGAGTCATGCTTGTTCCTGTCAATCTTGCAATGCTTCATGGGACTTGTAGTTTGGCAACAGCTGGAGGGCCGCCAGTTTGACACCCGTGCCTTACAGTATTGACCAGGGGTGGACTGACCATTGGAGAACTCGGGTGCTGTCCGAGGGCCCGGGGTCAGTAGGGGGCCCCATGAGATGTCCCTGGTACCTTTCATAGGCTTTTTTGGGTGTGGTTTGAGTGTGGGCAAGGACACAGGGGCCCCATGATCCCAATATTGCCCGGGGGCCCCATGAGTTGTCAGTCCGCCCCTGGTATTGACTATCCTATCTGGGTGTATTTTTAGGGGGATCGCTGTTCTCTGGAACTGTTATATCCTCTATATTTTATGAGTACCTTGGAACACTATTACTGATATGCGCAACGGTTGTATGTATTTTGTTTATTGGTTGTACCTCAATAAACAAATTTCATTTGGGTGCAGCGTTGCATGACCACGCAATTGCCAGTTAAAGTAATGCAGCGCCGTAACACAAAAAAATGGCCTGGTCAGGAAGGAGGGTAAATCTTCTGGAGGGCAAGTGGTTAACACACATTATACCATAACAACATACCTAAATAATAAAGTAAACATGACAAGGATTGTGGAAATGTTTAAAGGAGGGCAAGTGGTTTAAAGACTGTTCTTTAACATTAATTCAGCCACTATGCAATCTATTTATACTGACAAAGCAAACTATACCTTGCCATTAAACCTGATAAAACGTTGTCATATAATAAGATACTAAGGCTGATTTACTAAACGAGTTGGCAATTTTCCCACAATAAGGGTCCTTTCACACTGATGTGTTTTTGCTATATTTTCACCTTGATGAAAACGCAATAAAAATATTTCCTTTTAAATCCTACGGGACTCTTCACACACTTTTCAAAACTACGCCAAAAATGCAGCTCCCCATTGAAATGAATAGAAAATGCATAAAAAATGCACTGTAATTGTGTTTTTGATGCATATTTTGAGTCACACGTCCATGTTTCACAGGTGCATGCAACCAGAGAACACATCAAAGATGCATATGTGTTTTTAATGTGCTTTTTTACTTTGAAAGCACACTAAATTGTGTGAATATTCACTTAAATTTTCCAGTTAAGTGACAAAGCAATTTTTTTTATTTAATGAATGGATAATGGAGGTGAATAATCACACAATTTACCACATGAGGATTCTCACTTTCCTGAGTAAATCAGCCATTTTCATCAGGGTTTTGCAGATGTTACTTTTCTCTCTAGGGATATAATGTACAGATAATCATGTCATTTGCATAATATAGAGTATATGTAACTTTGATTTTAAAAAAAGTCCATAAAATTACTATTTGTATTTATATGGCGATCTGAGAAAAAGTATAGCTAAAAAGACTTGAAACATCAGGTCCTGCTACGTCGGAGGCAGCCAGTCATGAGCTCTCTGGGCTCTTGTAAGACAAGAGGCCTGTCAGCCAGTTTCATCTTGACTTTTTTGCATAGGTGTGTGGAAGGCTGGGCTTCTTTCTGTGGTTATTGTGGGAGTATACACGTCACAGGAGCATTTGCAAACAGGTTTACATCTAATAGTTTTCAGAGAAAAGCAGAGATTGTGCATGAGATTCTATAACAGGCTAAAACTATTTATTTCACAACTGTAAATCTGTTTTTGAATGAAGCACTAAGCTTAACTCTCTGCACACTTTTGAAAAGAAAAACAAACTGAAGACAGCAACGGTACAAGCTCAAAGCGAGGAAAAAGAATTATCTCTTCCGAAAAATCTAACATTAACTTTTTAAAGCCAAGAAGACATCAAGAAAAGGAAAACCTTCCCTTCTTTGTTGAAACATAACAAAGCCAAAAAATGGATAAATTTCGTATGATCTTCCAGTTCCTGCAAGCCAACCAGGAATCTTTCATGAATGGAATATGTGGTATCATGGCACTTGCAAGTGCCCAACTATACACAACATTTGATTTTAATTGCCCGTGTCTTCCAAGCTACAACTTGTCCTATGCCCTGGGTGTTTTGTGTGTACCACCTATTGTCTTATTTTTATTGGGGTTTGTAATGAACAATAACGTCTCAATGCTTGCCGAGGAATGGAAGAGGCCGACAGGTATGCGGCAGAAAGACGCTGCTGTATTGCGATATATGTTCTGTTCAATGACTCAGCGGGCATTAATTGCCCCGGCAGTATGGATATCAGTGACGTTACTACATGGTGAGAGCTTTATATGTGCATTTAGCACATCTATTCCTGTGGACAAACTGGGAAATATGACTGGTGTAGACCTGTCTGAAAAAGAAATCAGGCGAATACTGGCCAGGATCCCTTGCAAGGATATCTATGATGGACACCATATTATACCACAGGAAGTGGCCACCAGATATCTGCGGTGCATTTCTCAGGTGACACATCCCTTTTTTTTATACTGTTAACTGTGTCATGTTAGTTTTTGCATGTATTTTGTGATTTCTTTATACTGTAAAGTATATGATAGCACTGTATGACTGAGGAGTGATAATAAGGTTTTTTAAGGCAAAACTGAAATATGGGACATAGTTACAAACTAGCTGATGAGTGGTCCACATTAGGCCATCTGGCCATTCACTATGGTGTTTAAGCACATTATTTGAATCCTGTTATATTCACAGGTATTTGTTGTACACTTGGGTTTACATTCTTAGATAGACATTTCTGGTCTCAGTACTACTCAATAAATCTACCATGCATGCCAGTTGAAGATGCCAGCCCTGGGTGCCATGCGTAAAGAGGTCCACCTCCCCCTCTCATTCTTACACAATGTATACTTAATAAGCTGTACTCTTGGTAGCAGCATAAGTATTCACATTTTAATGTGAAACTTTTGATGGTGATCAATGCCAGTCTCAGCTCATCCTCTAACGCATTTCACCAGAGAATTGCATGTTAACAGAGTGTTAATTGTTGAAGCTTAGTAATATTCCCAAGTTGTATAATATAGAAAATGCTACAGTCACTGGCCCTGGTGATCACAGAGAACAACTTACTAATTTTATCAGTGATTAGCTCATCTATCCCTGTGGGAGACCCACAGGCTCATTCCTGCATGCAACCCACAGGTTACATTCTCCAGACCTCAGACACTAAGCAAATGAGGATTCAAGACTAATAAAACTTATTTGCATTTTCTGGCATGTGCTCCTTGTTCCCTCTGGAGATTTAGGAGATAAATCAACAACTGCAGAGTGAAACAGCAGGTATGTGTGCTATATTCACCTGTTAGCCATAAATATGTCACTCTAGAAGCTAAATATACTGATTTTGTATCAGGCTATGTTATGTTTAATGCAATCCTGTCCTTTGTCAATGCAGGGGAAAGCAACAGGTTCGTTTTAGCCCTTTTATGACCATAGGTCACTGATACATGGATGCTCAGACCAACATAAGCAGCATCAGTACACTTGGCAACACGTATGGCACAAATTGGCTACCTAAATAGGTTTTACATTTCATGAGGATAAATATAGGGTGCTCCAAGTTACAAAATGTAACAAAAATGAACATTACCTCAGCATGGGCCATAATGCTGACCTACATATTGTGGCCTCCAAATTGGGATAATGGCAACCCCACCAACAGCAAATAATCTCTCTTCCACCCTCACCACTCAGTCTACCGCAGGGAGCATAAAAAGACAAAAATATCTAGTACTTCCGGATATCAGGGGAACATGTGACTAACTCCCTTTCTTACCATATGACAGAATTGGAGCTTGGCTACTCAGACACCTCATGGAGTCACAGAGGGGTGAGAGTCCTCAGCTATGTATATGCACAAAGTTGCAACTTACACAGGGCTACTACTCCCTTACTTGAACAGACCAAATGGAACTGTAGGGAAATTAAACTTGACCATAAACCAGTAGAGTTACATTCAAAAATGATAATGTTAAGAACATTCCTTCAATTTTCTAATTGTAGTGAGGTCAAGTCAACATTAATTTTTAACCGTAGTGACAAAGAAATTTAATGAAGCATGATGTAAAACTTTTCTCAAAGGAACAAATTACTATCAAAATCAAATGTTAAAAGCCAATGTTTTTCAAGTACTTTCAAATGACATCATGTCATCGAATGTACCAATGAAATTTTTCATATGAATATGTGAGCAAATGTTTGTATGAACGTTCAATTGAAAATTTACTAGTGTATGGCCAGCTTTAAGGAAGCTATGCCTTCCTTAAATTTCTCTCACAAGCAGATGCACTTAAAGTCTGACTATTCAAAATGTTGAACATGCACAGAGACCACTACTGCACAATTATAAGGCCCCTTCCACATGAGCGTTCTGATCGTTTTTTCAAGCGGACCTAATCGGACCCTTCATTCTACTCTATGGAGCGGCCAGTGTAAATGGACTTGTGTCCATTTACACCCGTCTACCTCCAATCCAGAAGCCAGTCGGGTGTAAACAGACAGCCAGTACATTTACATCCAATTGCCTGTAGAACAGAGCGGGCTGTGTCCGTGTCCGTTCTTCAGAAGTGGAGTGGACCTGTCATCCACCTGCCCAGTGGGGGATCAGTGGACAGATCCCCCGTCTTATTCTTCCACCATATCTGATTTCAACAGCAACAAAGTTGGTGGTACAATCTAATGCTAGGTCCTGTTCCTGAAATAATAATCCCTTTTAAAAGAAACATTTTTAAAAAAGAGAATTTTCTACAGAGTTTATTTAATGTGGTGCACTTTCACTTTTCAAAGAATACCCTATCGCTTTAAAGGAAAATAAACAAAAACAGCATTTTTGTGTGCATGTGATTGGATGAGGGAAGACAGCAGAGCTTCACCTCATTCACCATGACTGGGCAAAATTCACTTGGAAAGTGCAACTTTCCTTGCAAAGTGAACTTTTGTAAGTCAATTCTAATGGTACTGTTCACAAGATCAGAGAGTTTAGGGTATAGTGAAGCAGGTACCTTTTCTTTTTTGCACTAAGGCCTGTCCACAGCATAGAGGAGCAGGGGGCCACATTAGTATGAGCTATACCAAATGTTTTTTGCAAGAGTTGCCATAGACTGAGAAGTGAAAAACAGATGCTTGGAGATGCAAAAACAGATTATACAACCTGCTCTGCTCCCCTCCCTTTTTACTCAAAGGATAGTTGATAATAAAGCCAAGTTAAAGTTTTCCAGTACTCATTCTGGTTTTGACACCAATCACACTGTCACCATGCATGAACCTGTGTATGGGAGGTAAAGGAAAACTGTTGGGGAGAGACATTAGTGAGAACTACAGACCTTTAGGATGGGGTGTTGAAGTCAATTAACTTATGAGAATGGTTATTAGTTTTACAATTAAGCCATTATAGATTTTACCCAGAGCACTTCAGATTGAGACAGAATAAATAAGAATAAAAGAGCTTCCCCTAAGTGTGAGAATCCTGTCACCTGATTGCAGATGCCCCCAGAGAAGAGGTGCTGAGTTTGCTCAGTGTTTTTAACCAGGTAGCAGAATGGTGATGTATGAGTGTGTGTGTGTGCCACCCCATCTGGTGGAGTAAAACTGCAAGTTATTGAGGATTCATGGTGTCACATGGTTTCATAACCTACAAAAAGGAAAATCTTGGAGAACTATATTGAAAACAAGCTGATGACACACTAATCTACCCTAAGGGACAATTTTCTGATCACTTTCTGTGTGAACAAGGAGGCTATTAAAAGACCTTTTTTTAATCCTTTACACACATTCACTGTGTTCTACATAGGCTGTGAATCATGACTATAGTTCAGCTGAGCAAATGACTAAAAAGGTATTGGCCAAGCAGACAAATAAATGAGGAGGTGGAGGTTATGTGAACACATATCAAATATTCTGCTATGTTCTCCTGAAAACACCTGCTGCAACCCATTATTGTCACAATGTCATGTGAAGTCTTAAATCATTTGTACCATGTGGTAATAGTAGTCTATGTACAGGAAGCTTTAAACTTTAAAGGACAAGTTCACCTTTCGTAACATGTTACATGTTACACCCATATTCAGGGTGTAACATGTACCCTGTTACAATCTGACCGGCCCCCTCCCCCCCCCCCAATCCCCACCTTGACAGATAGCAGGGGAACTTCTCTCTACTCCGAACCACCACCCCACTAGCTGTCAAATTTTTAAAAAAACGTAGCCGTGTGGGGCTCTGCCTGTTTCACTCATTGACAGCATTCTGTGAGTGAGAGACTACAAGTCCCGGCAGCCTTAGCGACTGTCAGCTTGTAGTCCTCAACAGGGGAGGACTGACCATTCGGGTACTTGGGCACTGCCTGAGGGCCCGGGGTTAGTAGGGGCCCCATGAGATGCCCCTTGTACCTTTCATAGGCTTTTTTGGGTGTGGTTTTAGTGTGGATGAGGACACAGGGGCTCCATGATCCCCTATTGCCCGGGGGCCCCATGAGTTGTCAGTCCACACCTGGTCCTCAATGAACTACCACGGCACTGTGGAAAGCCGTGGTAGTTCATCGATTCTTCCTGTCAGTATATCTGCTTGTTCGTACATCCTGTTCGAGCAAGCAGATATTCTAACAGATCTGCAGGAAACCTGTATATGCTGATCGCTGGTGCAATGCTTTACAGGCTTCTGCAGACAAAAATAATAAATGCACATTTTTTACCTGCAAAAAAAAAATGTGCATTTATTATTTTTTTACTAAAAGGTGAACAGCTGCTACAGGCTAAGACAGCTGCTACCATCTATAAAAACGTATGCAATCCTTACACATACCTGCAGCAGCTCTAATTTTCCTCTGCTATAACCAAATGGTGGGCCATTCTGAACAGGACAATTTCTGGCATTTTTGATGGAACTTGACCACCCACTCCTACATCCCATATATTATTATTGGCCTACAAGGTAGCTCATCATAGTGGTGGGCCCTCAGGAATGTAGACATAGTCCAACAGCTTTGTACTTTATATGGCTAGCATTATAGAACCAACTAATACATGTCTTTGTTTAATTTCTAGGCATTAGGATGGACCTTTGTTTTACTCATGACCTTCCTGGCATTTCTTGTCAGAGCCATACGACCCTGCTTCACACAGGCAGCTTTTCTTAAGAGCAAATATTGGTCACACTATATTGACATTGAGCGCAAGCTTTTCGATGAAACCTGTACTGAACATGCAAAAAGTTTTGCAAAGCTCTGCATTCAGCAGTTCTTTGAGAACATTAACCGAGACATGAACATAGGTCATTCCCATGTTCTAGAGAAGGAACCAAAGGAACCAAAGGAACCAAAGGATGCAAAGGAAACAGAACAGGACGAAGCAGACAAACTACTGGGAGTCACCAGTCAGGGGACAATTAACACCCTTCTGAAGAATTGGCACAGATGTAAACCTCCTTTAAACCTGAATACCTATGAACACCAAAATGGAAATGGATGTATTATCGAAAATCTTGAGCTTAACAACCTAAATATACCCAAGAAGGAAATTGTAACTTATTACAGTAAGGTTTAAGGACTGGGTGTCTTTTGAACAGAAGACAAAACTGTGAAAAAGTTAATTTAAATCTAGAGGCCATGTGGAAATTAACTGAGTCCTGAAGACTGGTAATTTTGCAATGGCCATTTACAGAGTGGGACAACATTTTAAAGGAATCTAATCACTGTGATTACATCTTGACAAGTGTTTTCTGTTGTGCCTGCTATGCTTTGTCAAGAACATATTTCTCAATGAAGGAGGTTAAAGGAATTCATAAGCAAACAGTGAAGTTAAGCATGCATGAGAATTACGGTACTTGTTTCAAAAAGCATGGGTGAATTGGTGTCCAAGTTGGTGCCCTACTGTTCACTTTGGGAACATTCTACAACAGTCTTTTATATAAAGAGAAAGTATATGCCTATGAGACAAAAATTTAGCTTTCATTTGAGACAATTTTGTTTTCTCATTGCTAAAGAACAAGAGCAAGCTTCGGGCTAGCATGTTAGGTTTAGTGTTGTGGACCAATAGGGTGTGTTTTAACTTCCATATGTATGTAGAAATGGTAAGCCTTTGTTTAAATGTTCTGGGTATGTCCAACTGTTAAAGTATACATTCCAAGAACACATTTGATGGATCACATCTCGCAAGTGGCCTGGCAATGCCTGTTATATTTCAGAAGACAATGGTATCTACAACTCCTGTGAACCATGCTATAATGACCTGGAGAAAAACAAACCTAAACCTCTACCTGTTGCACCAAGACCTATATCAATTAAAAATAAAACTATTTCAGCCACTTTATGAGTGTGTTTCCAGTGGCAAGAGCTTTCCAATAACAAAAAGCTGATAATGTATTGGGAGCAAACTTTTACAACAGTATTAGCAGTTATGTTTATTATACAGTCAGTATGACTGAAATGTGAAGCTTTTATCACTTTTGTGATGACTTTATATATCTGTGGGTGCTTAATAAAAGACTGTTAATTTAATTTTAAGTCAGAGCACAATACTTATTGTGTAAATCATACTGTGCTTAAGATGTTCAATAAAACACATTTATTATTAAAAAAAATCAACTTTTGCTGTATACTCATATGATACTATTCCAAGCTCATCAAAATGTTTTTGGCATCTTTTGTGCTGCATTACTGAATAGCCCATGTAGTGCTACCCTCTTGAGGACTGTTGAGTATTTTTTGGGTTCCCTGTCTGTTCTGAGCCTGCTTTGTAAGTACAGCCACTGCTGATACCACTGTGAAACTTTGACCAGGAGGACTCCCTAGCTTTTAACCACGAAATAAACACATAGTTTAAGGTGAGTAAATATTCTAATTGGATTGAGGTCAGAATATAAAGAGTGCAAGTACAACAAGAATGGCAGTAGATGTGCTTAAAAGAAAAATTAAGCACTCTAAAAGGTTCAATAAAGTAATTAAGCACAGTATCACTTTAGGCAAACCCAAATGTCCTGCAGGATCATAATTTAAGCATAAATTCTAGCTTCTGAGATATCTCTCCCCAAGTGTGCCGAAGTGAACTATCACAATGTCAGGTTAACTTACTTTTGGGTTCTCAGTTGCTAGTAACTGGGTTTAACTGTGTTTAACTCTTTGAAATTAATACTTTTGTTATTAGCAGCAGTGTCCCCTTTGGTATCTCTTTTAAAGAATGGTGACAAATCTGTTCACTTGATGGGGCCCTAGCTGGTGCACATTAAGATTCAGATCCCTCCTTCTGTAAGAGCAAGATTTCCTCAAGATGGTATAGTCACAGAAATATTGCCCCTTTGAGTGATGTTGAAAACTAGGTAAGGTCTTTTTAAACAAAGGATGAAAGCAAGAATTGGCTAAAATTCAAGAATGGATGGAAGCAGCCTGCAGCAGAGGTTGACCCTTAAAGATGGTGAACTAGTCTGGTGAAGCAAGTTCCTTTGGAGCTGGAAGAGTCTTGAAATGAGATACTAGTGTAATCCAGTCTGCAGGGGGCATGTGTTGTAGCCAGAATCCTGTGGCTTCAGGATAATAATAATCTGTGGTGTAAAGTGTACTGAACTGAACAATTGAAATTAACATAGTCACTTGCAACTTGTATTGATCTGGGTTATGGAACCTTTTCACCTAGTTTGTAGTCTTCGCAGAGTAAGAGGTAAGCCCTTAGTTGAGAATACCCCCTTGTTCTTTTGGTCCTTTGTTATGAAGCGATGCTGATAACCGCACTGTGATCCGCCTACCTGCAGGATTGACTGTCCTGCTCATCAGCGATATCAGCAGTCTGCAGTCCTTCTTTCCCTCTCCACGAAACGTCCCTATCCAGTCCGGATCCCCGGAGTCTCGCACGGCCTTCTCCACACACACACCCATCTTCCTCCTCTCACCATCTACAGTACTTACTTCTTGTAAAGTTCCTGGGCTTCTCAATATACATGTTAACGCCCCTTTGCCAGCTCTTCTGGGAAGTGCAGTCTGTTCACTCGTTTTCTGAGTGCAGAAGTCCTACTACCAGCATACAAGTCCAACAAGGCTTTGCTTCAATAGAGTCTGGACAACTGAACCGCAGAACACTGCCATCTTGTGTTCAATTACCATCCTGCAACCAGTATTGATGCAGTATGTTACATCCCAAATATGGCAGTATCACTACCACAGCAAAAAGGTGTTATGTCTGAAAGGCAAAACATAGTGTATTTTCAGTTAGTACATATTTGAGTTATTACTGCAGTGCTTGCCTAAGATTAATCTTTACACAAAAGTCATATGTTTACAAACTTGCTCTTCTATATTTTATAGTAGATTAGCCACTAAAAGATGCTCTCAGGGGTTCAACGCAATTATGTATGTCTGTTAACAACTGTTGAAACAAGACATTAGTCAAAGAAGGAGTATGTTGCTGCAAAGAGTCCACATAAATGTATAATTACTAATTTTACTAAGAAACAAGGTTTTTAACTGTTTAAAGCGGTATTAAACCCCAAATCAGAAATGTAATATATTCAAGCTTACCAATCAGTAGATCTAGTGACTGCATTCATTTTCTTTTTTAGAATGTTTTCCCTCTGGTTTCACCTGTTGATCTAGCCAGTAATACACCTCCTGTATTAGAGTGACCCCAGGGCCAGTGCCAGCATAAGACGGCTTAGGCAGCTGCCTTAGGACACCAGGATGGGGGGGGGGTAAAAGCTGAATCCCCGACCACCTGCTCATCAGTCGGATTTGATCGATTTTAGACCATACTGAAGACGTGCTTTTAACACACTCCTGGCCACTATACTGGCTAGGAGTGTGTGTACTTTTGTAAAGCCATCTGTTGGATTTCAGTGTGAAAGTGATACCAGCAACTGTGAAGCCGCCGATAACTTCCAAAACCACTGTGATGCGTCCCCCTATGAGACACCCCCTTCCCCACCATGTTTATCAGGTTCCTACCTTTCAGGCGCGGTGTAGACATGTCACTGGGAAGGGTGGGTGGGAGCTCAATGGACATTTGTGCTAAGACTAGGAAGTGACATGTATAACATCACCTCCTGGTCCAGAGCTGTCAATCACTGGGATCAGTGCCTGGGGAAGCTACTGATGGAACATGATCTGTATTCAATCAGCTGCAGTGGAGTACAGGGAAGTATATGTGACAGGTACTCTTTATGATACATCCGGGGTCTAATAGACCCTGGATGTATCACAAAGAGTAACTGTCACATATATGCTATTACATAGGGAGCTACTGGTCCCATATGTGATATTAAAAAAAATTTTTGGTGGGGTTTAAGTAATCTTCAGACCTAAAATCATTTGTTAAAACATGTAAACAAAACATTTTAAAAAAGGCTTCAGGATTCAGGCTGTTAAAATACTTGTCTTCTGTTCCTTAACACTGCGCCCTCCTTCCTACTGGGTCATTACTAAGTTTTAGTTTGCCTCACCTGCTAGCTATCCTTAGCCATTGAGGGTAAGAAGGAAATGCAAACCCCATTACCTCATTACTTACTGCCGTTGTGGAGGGGAAGAGAGTGGTGGGAGGATGGGGGGATGGCAAAATGCCTTTGCCTGTGTAGAAAAAACACTGGGTCTGAGTGCCCCCACTGTGGATGAAGGAGCAGAAGAGATCACCAGGGGAAAAGAAAAAAGAAAAGCCTAAAAAAAAAGCAAACCAATAAGGTCACAACATCTATGAATTAGTAACTTACAATATAATAAATGTTTGCTTTTGGATTTAATACCGCTTTATCATATTGATCATTATTTATCATTTATTCATGTTTATCTTTGATATTAAAAAAAAAGGAAAAACAAGAAACCATTAGTAAAAATTACCTATAATAAAGCACACCACAAAGGGCTTATTTTTAAATTTGACTTTATGGCTCTAAAAGCGACTGTCATTATTGAAAATAATTGCAAAAAGGAGAGCCTGAATAATGAGCAACTAAATATCTATCTTTGCTGCCGCCTGCTCAAATGGACACCACTTCAGTCATTTGAAGTCTTTTCCCTAATTCTGCAATGAAACCAACACTTCAGGGAATGTCAATCTCCTATGTGCCCCAGAGCTCTCAATTATTTCTCCTGCTAATCTCCACATCACTACTCTGTTCTATAGTGGGTGAAGGTTGGTAAAAGAAACTAGGAAACTAAGAAAATTCTTCAAATACATTAATAGTAAAAAAGGTCCGGTCTGAGCATGTAGTCCCTTTGCTAAATAATCTAGAGTGGGTGACTGGGAACAAAAAGAAGGCAAATTTATTAAAAACCTTCTTCAGCTCTGTGTATACAAAGGAGCATGGGGGAGCTCTTGTTCATAATGGGCATGGCATTGACACAGCTCCAGATGATCCACATTGGCTCACAATTGATATGATCCAAAAATATTTAGACAGAATAAAGCTGAAAGGTGAATAAAGCACCTGGACCGGATGGCATACACCCACGGCTCCTTAAAGAATTGAGCTCTGTCATTTCAAAGCCATTGTTTCTAATTTTTAGGGACCCTTTAATGACTGGCATAGTACCACTGGATTGGTGTAAGGCCACTGTGGTGCCAAT